AACAGCAATTTATAATTAAATATTTAATTTATATTTTTGTTCATAAACTAATTAGTAGCAAAATTAAATATATGTACTACAAAAAAAAGTGTTCATCGTTCACAGAAATTTATGTAATAATTATTAACTGAATGTTTATCCCCCTTTTAAAAAGACTTGTATGCAATATTTGATACTGATGCTATCCAGAGATTGCTATAACATTCGAACAGTCTACTTAAGCTCAATCTGCAATTCAGGCAATAAATTTCTAACTAGATAACAATGTTATTTGGAAGATAAATCATATATATTAGCCCTAATGTAAATAAATCAATAAAATAAACGCTTTATTTTAACTTGCTGTAAAGCAAGCAGTCTATTTTTATTAATTGCATTACTTAATTTAGTTTATTTTTGTGTATAGAGATTGATTTTATTTTTTTTAATATTTCGATCCCTTGAAATATATTTACAATATTTGATATTTCAAAGCATATAAACTCGCTATTTTTGTAGTTACGATCCATCTACCTAAAAATCATAAAAGTAGATTTCCAAATAATAATATCCGGTTGAAATAAATGAGACTTAAGGCTATTTTCGCAGCGGCATTTGGCATATTACTTTCACATTCGCCTGGAAAAAAGGGTTATTTTTTTCTTCTAAAACTGCATTTTTCCGAAATATATCCTTGATGTTTTCCGTTTCTCTGCGTAACCCGACTTAAAATAGACACGTTTTTCCCAAAAACACTCTTTGCGACAATCTGTAAGGTGTTAGATTTCAATAAAAAAGCACGTTTTCAATTCTAGCTCTTCCATATGGGCCATTATGTCGGTTTCTACAAATTTATGTTTTTTGAGGGCGATGTTTATTATATTTATAGTGATTTTTCCTTTATTGTTACTGTTCATGATATGATACAGCAAATTTCAGACTATTTTTAAGTATTCCTTTTTTTTTTAAATAAAATAATGAATTAACATCTTTTTCTTAATGACGATCCGANAATATACTGCAAGTACAGTGCACAAAATAGAAAACGGACAACCCTGAATAACTTTTGACCAATTCCTCACATTCTGGGACTCAATCTCAAAGGCTCGAGGGCGTGATCTCAGATATACCAATTAATTAGTGCAGACGGTATTTTAAATTACGTAATCAGGCACAGAAACACACTTTTTCTGAATAATCATTATTTTTCGAGAGATTTGAATTTTTGAGCCCCAAAATAATAGGGGTTAGTGGCAATCTGGGAAATATGGTCCCAATAGTTTTATCAGGAGTGAGATCTGAAATTTAGACCCCTTAATTTATATTTTGTTTTTAACGTATTTCGCTATATCTCGAGAACTTTTTAATCAAATTGAAAAATTTTTTGCACAGAATTAAAAATTCATTTATCTGAAGATTATTCCCTGCAAAAATTTATTTTTAGTAAATATTTATTATTTTTTATCATTTATTTAATACTAGTCAAACAATTTCTTGGTAACTATTGTACGGTATAAAAATGTAGTTTTACATAGAGGAATGCAAAGTTTGTGCGAATTCAGTTGAAAAGTGCCTGAGCAATTGAATTTTAAAAGTAGGATTTTTTTATAAAAAAATTCTCAGGAATACACACATATATATACATATATATAAATATAATACCTAATATAATACCTTTTTATTATCAAATGAAATTAAATTAAATAAAAGAATTATAAAATTAAAACTTTTCTGTGAAATGTGCAGTTATCTTTTCTTAAAAATATATCAAAATTTATTTATTACTCTCAGTACTGACGAAATAATATTTCAGTAAGCTGATAGTGTATGTAAAATTAAATATATAACAATAGATTCATTTAGTGTAATACGATATCATTGCTAATTAGCGTCATTAAATTAGGTAAATACGATAATGCTATTTATATCAAGTTCAGATAGTCATTAAGAAATTTGATTTCAGTTACGGATTATTTACTGTTGTTGAAAATGATTTAGTATTCCAACATAAATTCCTCATCAACTATTTCAGGATATCATAAAGTAATTATGTAATTTTATTAAGATAGGGTAACATATCCAATCGTAGTTATTTATTAGTGGAGATGTATGTCTGTCATATCAAATTCGAATATTACAAAACAAGAAGCTATTTCAAAATTCATTATAATTCACATCTGGATTGTTTCGTTTTGTAATTGAAAATTGTAGTTAGACAAAAAATATGATTTTCTTCAAAAATTAAATTTCAGAGAATTCGTATAGGAAAATTAAAATTTTGTGACTCAAAATTCTTTTTTTTCAAACAATTAAAAATTTGCGCAGTGACAATTACAAAATTTTTGTTAAATAACTAATCAAAGAGTTTCACAGTAATTAGAAGGAGAAATCTTAAGCAAAGGGATAAAAATGAAATATAAAGCATGAAAAAGTAAGTTTTAGTTCTACTTATAAAAAACTTTCGTCACCGATCCAAATACGAAAGGCTGAATAAAACAGCAAAGAAAGCGTTGAAAACGAAGGAGGAATGACATGTTTTAACGAGATAATTAAACATAAATAAATAAACGGATATAAGAACTATGTATGGTGGGCGAGAAACCAAAATGTTACGTAATATATAAATTAAGTAAAATATATTCGATAATGTGATCGAGTTACTGGAAACGTTATTAAGTAAATAGTTAGAATATTTGAAAATGTGAAATACCTTTCATAAATGTAAACAGTTAATGCACTGTTAAATATTCCAGATAAAATTGTAGTAAAAAGTACCGGCACTCCGAGTCCAGAGCATAAATTTTCAAAATTTCAATATTCTAACCTTATTGTGTGCCGGAAATAAATTAAGCTTGTTGAGCAACGATTATTATTTACTTACGAATTAGTATGTGGGTACATTGCTATAAACTTTAAAATTTTCAGGTAAATTAAACGAAACTTTTCGAATTACATTGTAAAATGTGAAACTGATGCAAAACAAGGTGAAGCGAAAGTTACTTAAAAATATAATAGTCTAATATCGTTTCTCATTGCTGTCGATATATTTTCATTGGATAGAAAACCATATATTTTATAGCTACTAAATAGGCAAAAAAGATTTAGATACCTTTAGTTGTAATCAGACAATTAAAAGATACTTTTCGATTTACGTTGCAAAATGCGAAACTGATGCAAAACAAGGTGAAGCGAAAGTAACCTAAAAATATAATAGTCTAAAATCGTTTCTCATTGCTGTCGATATATTTTTATTAGACAGAAAGCCATATGGTTTAGCCACTAAATAAGCAAAAAAGATTTAGATACCTTTAGTTGTAATCAGACAATTAAAAGATACTTTTCGATTTACATTGCAAAATACGAAACTGATGCAAAACAAGGTGAAGCGAAAGTAACTTAAAGATATAATAGTCTAAAATCGCTTCTCATTGCTGTCGTTTTATTTTTATTGGATAGAAAACCATATGGCTTAGTTACTGAGTAAGCAAAAAAGATTTAGATACCTTAAGTTGTAATCAGACAATTAAAATATACTTTTCGATTTACATTACAAAATGGGAAACTGATGCAAAACAAGGTGCAGCGAAAGTAATTTGAAAATACAATAGTCTAAAATCGTTTCTCTTTGCTATCGATATATTTTCATTGTATAGAAAACCATATGATTTAGCTATTTAATAAGCAAAAAAGATTTAGATACTTTTAGTTGTAATCAGACAATTAAAAGATACTTTTCGATTTTCATTGCAAAATGCGAAATTGATGCAAAACAAGGTGAAGCGAGAGTAACTTAAGAATATAATAGTCTAAAATTGTTTCTCATTGCTGTCGATATATTTTCATTGGATAGAAAACCATATGGTTCAGCTACTAAATAAGAAAAAAAAATTTTGATAACTTTAGTTGTAATCAGGCAACTAAAAATACATGGATCTAAAGTTATTTATTTGTTTAACAAAATCTAGACGATTATATATTAGATATCTAGAAGTATGAGTTGAATCAGAGTTCGGTTGGTCTAAAAGTATTTTGATTCAATGACATTTTGATGTAATACTTATGAACACTTTCTTATCAATTATTTCTGCAATTACTTTTTTTATTCAGAATTAGAAGTTTTGTAATCAAAGAGTGCTATTTTTTTTTTTTGAATAAAGAAATTTTGTTTCAATACAAACGATATCTGGTCAACATATGCAATCAAAATCATGATTAAAAGACTGCAGAAAAATACATTGTAATAATTAGAATAATTATTAACTGCTGCTAATCTCTATTGATAAAAACTTAACACCTTTAATACAAACCAAAACTTTGATACATATTAAAAAAATAAACTTGTGAATGATGTTGCAGTGATAGCCGAAATTAACTGTTATGTTTAAAGTTATCTTTAGAAAACTGGGAAATAAATATATGAAAACAAATTTTTGTAGAGCATTAAAAAAACATTTTGAGACTTTTCAATTCAATATCTTTTAATTTTTGAAGTAACTATATGTTTATTATTCATGAACAAAAAATTCTAGTTCAGCGATTCGTACTAGATGCACAGCTGAAATACGAAGATATAATTATAGAAATGTAACATACTGGAATATAATGTATGAAACCAATTACTCCAATTTTAGACAAAATACAACCAATAAGTTTTAAAATTTTGTTAGTTTTTTATTTCCCAAAACAACAATAAAACAACAACGAATGCATTATCATTTCTTTCCTTTACAAAGCAGTAAACTATTCAAATTTGTCCATGACTTATTTCTGCAGTTTCAAATTCATTTATGAACTAGTAATTTATTTTTACCACATTATATCCTAGCATTTTGTACATCAGATTCCGAATTTAATATTTAGAGTACAGATTTTTCATTCTGCTATTTCCTTTCTCAAACGTACATAAAGTATAAAAATTACAGATTTTTATGGGAAATGAGCACAACAATCAAAATAAGTTATTATTTTAATCCAGTTTTTTTCTTTTAGCATTGCCTATAGTTATATTATTTTTATTTTAGGAACGAGTAATGAAGCTGAACCAGAATTCTCAGAAGCTATTCCAAACATTACGATTCCAGTTGGGCGAGATATACAACTTCCTTGCATTGTTGAAAATTTAGGATCCTACAGAGTAAGCATACGTGTTTATTATAATCTAATTGGGATTGAATTATTAATTTTTGTTTTTTTGATATAATTAGAACAATTTGTATCTAATTTGATTTTCTTTGATCATATGATATATTCTTGATATAAATGACAAATTCATTTTCACATTATAATTGATTCTTAGTACATGAAAATCCGATTGTTAGATCAAAAAAAAAATATTTAGGTTTATCATTTGATTTATTCTGTATATCCTGCATTTTTAAAAAGAAATAATCTGATAAGACACATTGCACGGCCCAAAAAAACGTAGTAAAATTCATTTAATGTATGGTAATTTCATTTCTAGTAAAAAATAATTCTGATAAATAAAACCGTAATATACGATACTTAAACAATTCATTTGGTAATTTTTTCGTCCATATGGCTAACGTTTGCAGGGAATTCCGGTTTTTAAAATTATAATTCTTATTACAGCACATTTAGTAAAAAATATATAACCGAAAATATATTTTACTGAATAAAAGGGTTTTTATTCCATGCTCTAATTAAAAGGTTTCTTATGCCACGATGATAAAATTACGAAATTTTACCTCATTTATCAAGTTTTATCAACTATTACATAAAACACATTTTATTGTTATTTTTACCAATATCATTATCAAAACTCTTCAGTAATAATTACCGAGCTCTTTAGTGTCACGGTATATCATATAATATATAATTATACCATTACACGGTAAATTATACCATATTGTACCATACCTTTTTTTCTCAGTATATAATATGTCTTCAAATATTTCAAGAATTAACATCAATTCACTTATCGGATTAAATGACATATGCTATATATATATATGTATAATAATATTTTTGTAAGCAAATTTTAAAACAAATTTTTAAAATTTTAATTAATTGAAAAAGAAAATAAATTAAATTTTGGTTTTGATCGAAAAGTATTTATAAAAGTATAAATTATCTAAACATAAAATCACTGAATATTAGACATAAATCAAACACTTTTTTTATGTATACAGATATCATTAAAAATGATTTTATTTACAGCATTGCTTTGGTTCTTGATCTTTTACAATTATAGTAAATTTGCCAGAATTTATGACATGATATTTCTATAATTGTGTATTGTCTTAAAGAATAATTTGTATTTTTTAATGTTATCGTTTATTTGTTACAAAAAAAATAAAAACTTCAATGAATTCTTCAATGAAAACTTCACGAAATCAATGCTTTAAAAAAATTTGAAAACTTAAGTAATAATTCTTTCATATTTAAATTCTGTAAAGGTGAATTGCTTTACATCAATTAATATATTTTTATAGTGAAATTTCCGTCAAAAACTATAGTAATTTTTTGGTTCCCATCAATGAAAATGCTATGTAAAAAAGTTGTTTTATAAATGTTAATATATTCAAATTAACTAAACCTTACAATTTATTCAAATTTATTACTAAAATATCACTCAAAAAATTTCTACTCTGTTGTCCAAATGATCATGCGATTTGTTAAATATTTATAATGTTGTAATTTAGCTCATTGAAAGATTCATCAATGGATACTAAACTACATCAATCCAAAAGAATATTATTACCGTTACCATTCAATTTCATGATAAGACACATTTCCGTAATAATTCGGTAACAGTAAAGCTTTGTCAAATTACCCGATCTTTTGGTGAATTCAATATTTATCAACTCTATGTTTATTAAATCTTATAAAGTATCTCTTTCGGGAAAAATTTCAATAAGATATATACCCTGCGGTATTTTATACCAACAGAAACTCATTGGAATCCAATAGTAAGATATGCACTGCATAATTGTATAGTTAACTTCAACAACTTAAGCTAACTTCATAGAAGTAGTGAGGTCTTTTATTTACTTTTCATTCATAAGTTTGACCTTCCAGGACAGAAATCATTACAATGCATTTTATGCTCGAAAAACATTATTTTAGTTCTATTTCTAATTACATATGACTGAACGATGAAATTGGGACGAATCTCCCAAAATAATAACACCCAAGGCATTTCTGAATCTCGATGTTTTTCAATATTTTGTCACGGTTCATTGGGAATTTCATTGCTCATTTCGCGTGGAATGATTTGTTTTTGGCGCAAAAATACCGAAGATGCAATAAGAAGAGAAATGCTGCTAACAATGCTGGAATTAATAAAATAAGAAAAGGGTTGCATTAATAATAATGACGGCAGTATGACAAAATCGGAGACGGGTCTATCGAAGCGGATGTAATTGTGAATGGTATGATGGTGATGAGTTTCTGTTCTCAGCTGAGAGAAGCTGATGGTAATCTAGATCAAGCGAAAAGAAACAAAAAATAAAACTGAAACATAAATATATCCTTTTGTTATCATTTGAAAAGGAGAATATTGTAGCGTTAGAAAACTTTTTTATGTTGCATATTGTTTATTAAAATATTTTATATAAGCTAGCTATCGTTGTTAGAAATCTTAATAAAAGTAATTGAAATATTCTTTTTACTTAAATGCATGGAAAAATACTTTCATTGTTTGAAAACAGAATTTTTTAGTTATACAAAATAAAATAAAGAAACTCTAAACTTGCTTACGATATGCGTAGGGCAACGGTGGCCCAATGATGTGACCCAGTAGCTGCCGGTTGATACGATTTCTTCTCCTGGTTTTCAGTGACCACAGTTAGTCCGATGACCATAGGGCTAATTGTGGCGGGATTTCGTGGTTTTCTTCTCCTTGTAACGCATATGTGGATTTCTTCCATCGAAAGGTCTTCCCCGAGGACTAGTTTATTACAACGCTTAAAACAGGAGTTCCCTCGTCTTCTACGTTGTGTTCAAAATTACAGGACTACGGAGTTGAATATTGATAGTTGTTAACTCAGAATCGAATTGGCCGCTCAATACCGGTTACAAAATAAAAGTTTTAAAAAAATTGTGTGGAACTAAAAGGAACAAATTAAAATATTATTTTAAAAGAAATAATATTAAACTATTTTAATTTTTTTGTGTATGTTAATCTAAAGATTTGAAGAAGAAAAGTTTCTTTTATTTAAATTTAAACGTTATTTTGTAGCAAAGTGCAGCAAAAAGCCAACATTTAGAAGCAAATGTTATTTAAAAAGCATGTTTAAAAATATTGGTTGGATATAATTAATTGGGCGCCCTAAAGATTTATGGATTTTAAATAATATTTTCCTTATCCATATGGAAGTTCTGTCACTTTTGGTTTTTAGATTACAATTCGTAAAAAAAAAGAAGAAAAAAAACGCTATATTGTTTTGTTTTTTTCTTTCAGAAGCAAAACCGGCTTTAGCAATGGTTTTTGCGACTACTTAAAACTTTATATGTTCTTATATTTATTCTCATCAACATCTTTTGAGGTAAATTTAAAATTTAAAAGGGAAGAAAAAACTTAATTTAATTATCAAAATTGTAATAAGAAGGTTACTTTTGTTTTCGGACTCCGTTCGTACGAGAGAACAGTATATTCTTTTTTTTCAGAAACGAAACCGGTTTTAGCAATGGTTTTATCGACTACAGAAAACTTTATATGTTCTTATATTTATTCTCATATTGATCAACATCTTTTGAGGTAAATTTAAAATTTAAAAAGGAAAAAAAACTTAATTTAAATATAAAAATTTTAATAAGAAGTTATAAAAATAAGCCTGTCATTCGCAGCAATAGCAAAGGAAGTCAGGTTACTTTTGTTTTCGGACTCCGTTCGTACGAAAGAACAGTGTATTCTTTTCTTTTTTTTTCAGAAACAAAACCGGTTTTAGCAATGGTTTTATCGACTACATAAAACTTTATATGTTCTTATATTTATTTTCATAATGATCAACATCTTTCGAAGTAAATTTAAAAACGGAACAAATTAATAACAAACACGCGTATCAGCTGTAGTGTAAATATTTTTTGTGCATAAATAAATCAATACTAACGACATTGACAGTTTGCTTCAAATTTATTAAAAGTCAAAAAGTTTATATATTAAAATTAAGTCATTTCTATTGTACGCAAAACTTTTTTTTTCATATTATTTAAAGGAAATAATCTCGAATTCTATAAAACTATATAAACATTGTAATATATATTTTAAAGCATACAACGATGTTCATTCTTATCCCTTTCGTAACGGCAGTCCGTTTCGCTAAACGCCACTGCTATATATTAGTCATGTATGCTTCACTCTATATGTATGCTTCACCACTGCTATATGTATGCTTCACTCCTATATATTAGTATCCTGTAATATAATATTACCGGCAGAAGAAAATTGTTTCGACGTACAAAGCATATTAAGTGCATTCAAAATGTACTTTAAGGGGCATTAATCATATACAGGGCAATTGAATATTAACAGATTGCCGTTTAAAGCATATTGGGCCGGTTTTCAAGCGGTCTTGCGCTAACACCGACTAAATACGGCGCTCATTCATAAGGTGGCCACCTTAGGAACACGTATAAGATTGCCATTTTCAGTATATAAAACTATCGTTAATCTTATAAATTTATTAAAATGAAAGTAAATGTGCTTGAAAAGTAAGAAATAAAAAATTCAGAAAATATTTCATGATTCAATGTTCTTTGATATTAAAAATATATATAATTAGAATAACTCCTTAACTGAAAATTTCTTCTAAAAAGTAAAATGTCTGCATAAAATGGCGGCGTAATTGAACTAAACGATTCAAAGTCAGTGACTTGCTTTGCACATGGATTATTTACAATGCTGTTGAGCCATATAGCAATTAAAATTAATATTAATTCTTTTTTGGGGAGGTGGTCTACCTAAAGAACAATGCCTACCTTTGGGTCAACTACCTTACCTTCTTTTCGAACAGATTCGAATTTTTGCCCCTAAAATATAGGGGGTAGCAGCAATCAGGCAGGCAAATATGGTCCCAACAGCGTCAGGAGAGAACTCCAAAGCTTGGACCCATTAATGTTAATTTTACTTTTTCCGTATTCCCTTTATCTCAAGAACTTTTTAAAACAATTAAA